CATCCTCCAGCATCCCTCTTCTAACATCCTCCAGCATCCCTCTTCTGACATCCTCCACCATCCCTCTTCTGACATCCTCCAGCATCCCTCTTCTGACATCCTCCAGCATCCCTCCTCCAGTATTCCTCTTCTAGCATCCTCCAGCATTCCTCCCCCAGCATCCCTCTTCTGACATCCTCCAGCATCTCTCCTCCAGCATCCCTCCTCCAGCATCCCTCTTCTACCATCCTCCACCATCCCTCTTCTAACATCCTCCACCATCCCTCTTCTGACATCCTCCACCATCCCTCTTCTGACATCCTCCAGCATCCCTCTTCTAACATCCTCCAGCATCCCTCTTCTAACATCCTCCAGCATCCCTCCTCCAGCATCCTTCTTCTAACATCCTCCAGCATCTCTCCTCCAGCATCTCTCTTCTAACATCCTTCCCCCAGCATCCCCACTTCAGCATCCTGCCTGCATCCTTCCTTCAGTAACCTTCTTTCAGCATCCTTCCAGAATCTCTCTTCTAGCATCCCTCCTCCAACATCCTGCCTGCATCCCTTCTTCAGTAAACTTCTTTCAGCAACTCGATTTCGGCATGGTCCCTCCATCACCCCTCCTCCAGAGTATCTCTCCTTCAATATCTTCTCAGACAGCAGCCCTCCTGGGATGGATGCCATTCCTCAGTGTCAGGAGATTGGGAAGCACTTTCTATTTATCTCTTTGGTTAACTGCCCTTATTCACAATTTCAGAAGGCATATCAACTACTTAAAATATTTGGCATATTTTGTGTCTTGAATTAAAACACAGAGGAAGTTTGATTACTCAGATCTCATCATAGTGACCCACATTGATCTTTGAGTGTGGCTTTCCCTGGTGGTCATCAAAAAGGTTCACATTGAATTCCTTGCTGTTTACCGGTAGTTTATCATATGAGATAGAACATGCATGGAACCACAGTGTGCTTTTTGTTTGGAAGAGATACCCCTATACACAGGAGCAAGACTGTCAGCATGAGTGGAGAAGATGGCATTTTGTGGGTTGCACAAACCATTCAGGAGTTTTTTTTATAATTGCATAGCTTAAGTGTGTAATTAACCCAGAGAGCATACTTATAAACTCAGACTAATTCACCTATGAGGATGGACCCCTGAAATGACAGAGTCCCCTCTAAGAGACCCACAGACTCAGCTGTTTCTCAGAGATGTTTTAGGGGTGAGAGTGGATGTGATGGTATGCCACTACTTAGATGCATTTCCTAAAGCAAACACCAATATGCAGATGTGGGCGGGAGTGGGCTGGTGTTCAGATATAGTTAGGAATCATAAGCATTTAGAAGATGAATCAGCCTCTACCCAATGCAACCAATAAATCCTCCCCAAAGAACTGAGAAAGCCATGAAGAGAGGTTGGAAGATGTATGCAAAAATTTTCAACATAGACCATACAGTCATTTGCCAAACTCCCTGTGATGGTTTGAAGGACAAATGTCCTCCATGGCTCATATATTTGGTTACTTGGTTCTCATTTGGTGACACTCTTTTGGGGGAGGTTATAGAAACTTTAAGAAGTGCAGGCTTGATGGAGGAAGTATGTCACTAGAGGGTGGGCTTTGAGACTTTTATAGTCCTACCCCATCTGCTGTTCCCACTCTGCTTCCTGTGAGCAGATAAGATCAGATCAGTCTGCTTCCTGCTGGGGCTGCTTGTTGCCATGCCTTCCTGGACATTCTCTCCCTCTGGAACCATTGGCCAAAGGAAACTCTTTCTTCCTTAAATTACTTTTCATCATGGTGTTGATCAACAGCCATAGCAAAGTAACTAATACATACCATAATAACATTCCAAGTATAGGCCATCTCATGCTAGTTTATACCAAAGACGTTTAATCAAGTACAGGGTGGGGAGCAGTTATATACTATGCACACACCAAACTTTACCTTCCACAGCGGAACTCCCATGGTGTTATGGTTGAAGCTGCTTCACAGATTCTGTGATGATGCCTCCTGAGCAAGCTGCTGTTGTCAGTAAGAACGTGGCAAGAACAGCATCTACTCAGCAAGACATTTCCACTCCTGATCACCCACTGTGTGCATCAGACTTTCCAGAAATGGAGCCTCAGCACCTGTCAAATCAGAAGATGCAGCTCAACCATGCTCAACCAGACCTGCAGATCCTGAGCAAGGAAGTGAGTGGTGCTCGAGACGGCAAGTTTTGGGGTGGTTTCCTTATGCAGCAACAGACAACAGAGAGCAGGAGAGAGTCCTCGGGCATGAGAGAGAAGGCCTGTGTTAGGCCAGTTGATCAGGTTCAGGCTTTTGATATTTTATTAACATTTTTCTGGAAAAGATGTTTGCTCTCAGTGTGCCCATATTCCTCACATGCTCACAGATCTGCTTGTTTCAGAAATTCCAGGATTGAACCATGAGAGTCAGAGCCAGAACTAACCTATCCAGGCATGCTGATACCACAGAGACAGGACCTGTGCCTCCCACTTCATCTTCTTTACAGTGTTGACTTTCAAATCTGCCCCAGGGCTTCAGAGGTGTGCCCTTTAACTGAAAGCAATGAGGCTGCCCTTAAATACAAATTTTCCTATGACAATTCTCTTAGTATTCCCGAACTTCAGAAAATAATCTATATCTGAGTCTCCAAGGAGAGCGTGCAGATTGCTGAACTTTAAGTATAATCAAGCATTCATGTTTCTCCTGAAAAATCTTTACAGTAACAACATTGGCAATTGCCCACTTTTTAAATTGCCAGGTTGTGATATATAGAGCTATTTTGTTGTGAGGCATCCTCCAGAGAAGACCCCTAGACACAGCTCAAGCCAATAGAAAGTCTTTATTTAGCTACAAGAACACAGGCATGGACCAGACATCCCAGCTCCAAGGGAAAACTGGAGAAGGAGGAAGACTAGATCAACATTCTTTTCAGGGTCAAGATCTGGATTCACTACAGCCACCAGAACCACCCCAAGTGTTTTAGGGCAATGTAGGCTCTTTCCAGCAGTACAGGAAACTCTTCCGCCCTCTACATACTATGCTGTATCAAGTCCACATCCATACTTATGGGCATTAATTATAGCAGCATCAAATACCAGTTTTATGTCTTCATCTGTTCTGGCTGCTATAACAAAATACTATATTCTGGGTGATTTACAAAGAACAGAAGTTGACTGTTCACTGTTCTGGATGTCTAAGATGAAGGTAGATTCGGTGTGTGGTGAGTTCCTACTTCCTGATTCCCACCATGTCATCACAAGTTGAAATAAACACAAAGACTCTCCCAAGCTGTCTTGTCAAAGGGCACTAACTTGGCCTCTGCCCTCATGACGCAGTCACCTCACAAAGGTCCTGACCTTCTGTACCCTACATGGAGGACTAGTTTTCAATACACAAAACTTAAAAGAAAACAAATTTTCAGTCACATCAGTCAAAATTTTCTAGTGTTTATCCTTCAAGGGATTGTCCATTGCCTAGACACTTTGCCTGCAATTAAGACACATGTCACTAGGGGGCGCTACAGTTCAGACGAACTTCCTTTCAGCTCCTTCCCTCACCAAGAACTAATTGCTTTCTATCTAATTTACTTGGAAGTAACCAATGGACGAGCTTTAACTGCCACACCTGAAAACTACCTGTAAATTAGGAAAGATCCTTTACATCATCATAAATTATTGTTCATCAGTTAATGATCTCTTTCAGGTTGCAAGAAGTTGGATGACCCAAGGAGAAGGCACTGTCACTGGCTCTGCCACCAGAGGGCGGTCACTGCACACACACTGGGGCCTGGAAGAGAGACTGAGGATTAAGGAAGACAGTGTAAGGAAGGCGACTGGAGCTTGGTAAATGTTTCCTAACATGAATTCCTCCATCCATTTCTACGGCCTGTTTTTCTCCTTCTGAGCAGTAATTTGGAAGTACATGATAGCTGAAGCTCTCTGCCATAAAGTCTACATAGAGTTCTGGAAGGGATGGAACCCACCCAGGGATACTTCAGGCCTTCTGCAGATGTTTCGGGGCAAACCACAGCCTGGCCACCTACGTGAAGAAGTGGGTGTATTTTCCCTTAAGTCATACCCAGACTGGGCACGACTTTGAGGTGCTCCTCATCTCCTAATGGGAAGTGTCTCACCCTGACCTTTCCTCTTTAATGGCTCTGACGCCTCCCACGGGAACATGCAAATGTGTTCCCTCTTGATGTCAAGCTTTAGTTAGGTGTGTGATTCACACTGTGAGAACTCACGTTGTGTGAAGGAAGAGACTCCCAGAGGTCCATTCATGGTCGCTGGCCAGTGTGTGAAGAGCGGAATGGCCACATAATAACCTAAAAAATACTTACTTTACATGCATTTGTGTGTACATGTGTGGGTTTATGTGCACCGTATGAGTGCATCTGCCTGAGGAGGTCAGAAGGCATCGGATCCCCTGGAGTTGGAGATTCGGGCAATTGTGAGACGCCTGATGTGGGACCCAAACTCAGGTCCTCTGCAGGAACAGTAAGCAGTCTTAACCTCTGAGCTATCTCTCTAGCCCCCAGACAACTTCATAACAAGTCCAAGTTTCTTTACTGACTTCCGGGTCCCCTAAACCCGCTCCCGCTGAGGTGGATCCGGAGCCCCCTCTGCAACTTCAGTCATCCTCTCCTACATCTCACGGAGCTCAGCTTCCGCTTTCCATTCTTCCCTCCCGGGATGCCGTTCCATCTGAAGGTGGTCACTAGGGCATCTCACAGCTACAGCGTCACAGCTCCCCATGATGTTACCATGAGGCTGGCCCCCGGAATGCGAAATGATTAGAATGGAGTGGGCATTCCTTCCCAGCTACGCATGTGCGCGGAGTGCAGGCCTGCTTTGACTGCTAATGCCAGTCTTTTCACATTCTTTATAGTCTTCGCTTGCATTGAATGTTCCTGGAACAGACCCCGGGGGCTGAAACAGATGGCTGCTGGCTCCACTTGACCCTGTTCATTGTTTTGTACCATTCGATTTGCATATGTTCTCTGAGTCAGCTCCTGTCTCAAATGTGTGCCATAGGGACACATTTTGTGTATGGCCAGCCGGCGGACAATTGAGCCATTCAGATAGTCGAGCGAACCCAGCCATTCGTACACCTGAAGACACATCATATTGCTACACATCATGCCTTTTACTTCTCTATCAGATAAAAATGGTGGCGCTGAAATGTTTTTAGGAAAGCTCTGTGATTGAGTCCTCTCTCAATGTCGGAAGGCCGCGCTATGTGATGCTTTGAGGGGTTGGATGATAAAGCTAAGGTGTGCTAGTCACAAATGGCCTCCAGCATCGCTTTTTGGGTGTGGGCATTTCTATGGGGCTTATTTTTTTAGTGTGTGTGTGTGTGTATGTGTGTGTGTGCGCGCGCGCGCGCGCGCGCTCGTACAGGATCTAGTATTCACTGTGTAGATCAGGCTGACTTTGAATTCATAAAAATCCTCCTGCCTCTGCCTTCTGAGTGCTGGGATTAACGGCATGTGCCACCTGGCTTTATTTTAAAAACTAAAATACTTAAAGAGTTTAAGAGAGTCCTAAGCATGGTGCTGAGGTATAGCTCAGGGGTAGAATATATGCTTAGCAAACCTGAAACCCTGGTTCCATCCCCAGAACCAAGAACAAATAGGGAAAATATACTCTTTGTGTGTGTGTATATATGATGTATGTACCTGTTCATGCAGGTTTGCGGATGTGTGTACGTGGGTGCTTGTACACATGTGGGTGCATGTGTATATAGAGTAGTGGTTCTCAATCTGATGGGTCTCGATCCCCACAAAAGGTTGCATATCCGATATTTACATTATGATTCATAACAGTAGCAAAATTATAGTTATGAGGTATCAAAAAAATGTTATGGTTGGGGGTCACCACAGCATGAGGAACTGTGTTGAAGGACCACAGCGTTAGGAAGGCTGAGAACCACTGGTATGGAGGGTGGAAGTTGATGTGAGGTGTTTCCTTTGATTGCTATCCAAATTATTTTTCAAGATGGGGCTCACTGAACCTGGAACTCATTGATCTAGCTGGATTGGCAGGTCAATAAGCTCCACCCACCTCCACCTTCCAGCACTGGGGTTAAGGGCGGGCAGTACTACACCAGGCTTTTAGAGGAGTTCTGGGATCTGAATCCAGGCTCTCAGGCATCTTCCAACTCCCCAGATCTTTTGTTTATTTGTTTTTGGTTTGGTTTTTTGTTTTGGTTTTTGAGACAGGGTTTCTCTGTGTAGCCTTGACTGTCCTAGAACTTGCTCTGTAGATCAGGCTGGCCTTGTGCCACTACTTCCAAACTAAATTATTCTTAAATGGAGTTGTATTTCAGAAAACAAAAAGAAAGCGTGGAAATGTCCAGGATGTATCAGCCTCACCTTGCTGATGGCTCTGGAAGAGGTTGATACTACATGCTGGAACCAGACCCGGCCAGTCTGAAGCAGGGTCGTCCTGGATGTCATCATGGACAGCTTCCATAATCAAAGCTTTCAAAAGTCTTTTTCTAGGGTCTGGGTTGCAAAGATGAGTCCTCTGGAAGAACATTGTTCAACTCCTGTCCCGTGTCTCACATAACCCCTCTCTCCAGAAGTCTTGCTGAAATTCCATTCACCTCCAAAGGGCTTTGACTGGGATCAAAGACTACTGTGGACTCAAAGGCATGGTTTGCAAGCCCTTCCTCCCTGCTGAGAAAGTGTCCAGTGAGCATAGGTCTCATTCCCCAAAAGCAGGAGAGGGGTGATTAGTGGGGCCCCAGCGGCACACTCTCTACACCAGTGAGCCAAGACGACTGCCCCAGAGACTTTCTTTGCTTTAGTCAGCCCAGCAGCTGCTTACATCTGTTATCTTTTTCTGCCAGAGAGTTGAGCTCCGAGGTTGTCTGCACGTTGTCCAAGATGCTTCCTAGGCTTCTGCAGACTCAGGACCAGAGGCCCCCGGAGCAGATGTTTGTGATGGGGCAGTCACTCCTTACGGCTCCCTCTCAGCCACACCCCTCACAGTCATCTAGCTCAGGTTCCACTACAGGGTAGCAGGGCCAGCTTTGGCTCATTTCCACCTTTGGTTCTGCCCAGCCAGGTTCCAAAAGCTTGCCAAGCTGCGGGGGGTCAGCCAGAGACCAGATGTACCATGTGGAGGTGAGGCCATGTGGGGGTGAGGCAGGGTAGAGTGTGAGCTGACTTTGCAGGCCAAGCTGGGGTCACACACTCCCTTCAAGGCAGGAGGCCTGTCCTGTTGCCAGTTCCCCAATTCCACCTGTGCTAGAGGACGAGGTGAGCCACTGAGCTCAGCTTCCGAGTGCCAGGGCAGGTTTCTCCTGATGCCCTCCACCATTCCCGGGCCACCACTCTCCTGCACAGACATCTTCTTACAGACATTCTCATTCTGTCATGGGGGCATCACCTCCACTCTGAGGGGAATGAAATACCGATGCCCGGACAGACTCAGACACACTTCCCTAAAATAACAAAGTATAATGGTTGTCTTTCAAGGATGGCTTGGGACCAGTTATTCAAGAACAGACATGCAGAGGGAGTCAGCCACTCCAGTCTGCGACCTTCTGACATCAGAAGCTCAAAATCTCCAGCCAAAATGTGGAAATCACCCACTAGGGGGAAAAATAAAACCAACAACCACAAGGCCTGTGAAGAGGCCACACTGTCCATAACTACACAACGGCACCCTAAAACTACCCTCTCTGACATCCACACAACAAGCAGCTTCTCCCTGTCCCTTTCCCTCAAGTTCTCGGATGCCACCTGTGCTGGAGGATGAGGTGGGCCGCTGAGCTCAGCCCCTGCCCTAGCCAGGCAGCCTCGGGACAGCACTGTTTCTTTCTGGGAGGCCTGGTTGCACAGTATCGTTACACACATCTTACGGCAAGTCCTTGTTCTGCACCAAGAGGACCCCAGGATTCAGAAAAACAAGGCCAAGAAGCAGCAGGATGGGTCCAGGGTGACTGATGGGCAGACCGAAGCCCTACAGAGTATGTGGCTTTGGGATGCGTCCAGCAAACCCACCTTCCTTCCTTCCTCCTGGTACCATGCAGGGTGCCACTTCCAGAGTTTCCTGCCACACACACCCTGTGAGCAGAAGAGCCTCTGTTCTCTGCAGACTGAGGATGGATGACCTCTCTCTCCTTCCTCTTTTCCAGACTGATGGGGAAGACCAGAAGAAGGGTGGAGACACCGAGAATCCTGACCGGCCTTGCAGAAGGCAGCTCAACATGGCGGCTTATGTTACTCTTACAAATGCACCTCCTTGCATCCCAAAGCCTCGGCCCCAGTTGTTGTAATTCAGGACAGTGACGCACCCCTTCCCAAGTCAGCCAGTATTAAAGGGTCTGGCATCTTGGGAGCTAGGGACCATCTGTTTCTGGATCAATGTTTTTAAACACAGCTTCTCGTGGCCTTGACCGTGCAGGCCATCCCTGTGAGAGGTAGATGAAAAGCTGTCTGTCATCATTGCTCTTCCTCCCTGGGAACACAAGCGAACAGATCCATGCATCAACCCCCACTTAGCAACAGCAGGCTCGAGTCCTATAATTACCAGCATGACAGGGTCCGTCCCAGCTGGAGCCAGATGGGAACTATGCTGTGAGAGCCTCTAATTACACATCTCTGCAAGGAGAACCAGGTGGGTGCAGGTCATAATGACTTCCAGAGGGGAGCCGGGATCACCCACTGAGGCAACACAGCCCCGATACACAAGGTGGCAACACACAGTTTCTGGGACCCCACAGAGCTGGGTCCCCATGGTCAAGAGGAGACACAGAGGTCTGTTCAGACCACAGCAGCCTGGAAGCGGAGTCTCTTCTCTCAGTGAAGACACAGGGGTTATATATCAGACGTTCACCCAGGAATCACTCCTAAAGGGAGAAACAGGTCAGTGGGACCACGTTTCTTAAGTGACACTTGACTAACGTAAGTGTATGCACACATGCAACACACATGCACACATATGCCTCATCACTCACCCACTGCAAACCAGGTACTTACATATGCAAGTGTTAGCCGGTTGCTGCGTGCAGCCACGAGCCTAAATGTAGAAAAGAACCTTAAAAGAGCGTCTATGTCTGGTTCAAGTCACATGACCAGTGAAGAGTGGAGACAACCCCATAGCCAGTATAACCACCATACTACACAGCCCCCAAGAGTCCTTCATATCTAGCTCTAGATAAGATTGTTAGTTCAGGTTTCACAGTGGGACAAAGAGAAGCCTGACGATGTGACATGGACTTTCCCTCTGCCCCACACTTCAGGCCTGAAATCACCTACACAGAGCAAATTAAGCATCTGCCCCCGCTAATGTAGCTACCATCACAGGACCCAAGGCTGGGGCAAGTCATTTCCCTAGAATCAGAACTCATTCCCTAGAATCAGTTCCAAAGCCACTGTCTTGTCCTGGGAGGTGACAAGTATTTTGAAATCCCTGATAGTGGGTTTCTCCGCCAATGCAATAACCCAAATCTAGCCACATTAAAAAAATCCAGATTTACTGAGCAAAGCATTCCTGGGTGATCTCAGGGAAAGAAGAAGAAATCATGTGACAGGTCTGTGGCCCAGACCTTACATACCCTGTAGGCGAGGGTCTTGAGTAGCCCTGGGGGAGGAGCTGCTGCTTGGTGGGTTTGCTGGGGGTGGGGTCTGGAATGAGCAGAGAGGGGAGCCGAAGGAGGGTTCCCACTAAACCGGAGGCAGCGTACAAACATGAAGAATGGAGTTTTGGATTACCTGAAATTTATAAAAACGGGGCTTTTCCCTGCTGACACCTTTGGAGGCAGGATCACAGCGGCCGGTGAGTGGCGTGTACCTGTGGTGCCCACTACTTAGGAAGTTTAGGTGGGAGAATCATCTGATCTTGGAGGTTGAACCCCAGGAAACATAATGGGAGGGCAGATCTGAGTCCTCCTACGTGGATGCACAACCCACCAGCTGATGAATTTATCTGTTTCTTCCCTAACCTGTCTGCTTTGCAGAGATCCTGTCAAAGATGCTGGGATAATAGACATGAAGGAAAACACTACCTTCCCTGCATAGGAATGTTCTAGCTTTGACTGGGAAACAAGGAAATTGTGCCCTAGTGACCAGCTGTGCACTGAACCAGAGCCTCAGGGTAGGTGATGGAGGATGGAGGGCAGGAGACAGCTTGCTGCTTTCTTTATTCTCTCCTCTGCTACCCAGCCTCCCACTGCCTCCACGGGGCCTTCCCTGTCTCATTCCCCACACTGACTGACCGTCTTAGTTAGGGTTGCCACTGCTACGATGAAACACCACGACCAAACACCAAGTCGGGGAGCAAAGGGTTTATTTGGCTTACACTTCCACAGCACTGTTCATCGTTGAAGGAAATCAGGACAGGAACTCAAACAGGGCGGGAACCTGGAGGCCATGGAGGAGTGATGCTGACTGGCTTGCTCAGCCTGCTTTTTTTTTATAGAACCCAGGGCCGCCAGCCCAGGGATGGCAACACCCACAATGGACTGGATCTTCCCCATTAATCTCTAATTAAGAAAATGCCTTACAGCTGGGTTTTATGGAGATCTTTTTTCAGTTGAGGTTCTTTTCTCAATGATCCTAAATTGAGTTGCCCTTCAGATAATTCTAGTTTCCGTGTCAAGCTGACATAAGAGTAGCCAGCTCACTGGGGTTTGATGGAAAGCTGGTTCCTGGGAGGACCCATGACACTACCTGGATAGGGGGACAGGGGACACTTTCCCTAGTGGCATTGTTGTAGCTGGGCTGTCCTCACCCAGGAGAAGGAGACCAGGACGAACTCTCTATGAAGGGCACACACTCGTGACAACATGACTACAAGTCTAGAGGCAGACCTGAGCTGAGTGAGCAGAGACTTTATACAGGTTAAAACCCATGCTTGTTACATCCTGTTGACGCAGTGATGGTTATTAGCAAGCAGGACATGAACGTTAAATAAGAACGGGGCACGGCTGTGTCCCCACGGTGTTTCTGTTAGACCAGGAAGTAGAGTGGTTACAGAAACAGAGGATGCAGGTTAGCACAAGTTCCTGTGAGTAGCGTATGTGCCTGAGGGTCAGGCTGACCTCAGTTTTAGCCTAAAATATACTGTTCTCACTTCAGCATTCTCAGCTGACCTGCAGCCTTTGGAGAAGGCTCCATCATTAGGTGGGACCTTGGGAGCCGTAGCGGCGCCTCCCTGAGCTCTGGCGCCTCCCCGACCTCTGGCTTCTCGTTCTAAAGAAAGCTGCACCAGGCATGCAGGCAACAAGGACAGGGGACGGCTGCTAGCCTCTGGCAGGTGTGTTCCCTACACACCTGGCCTGGCTTGAATGTGGAATATCCCTCACAGGCTGCGGGGTGTGAACATTTGGTCCCCAGCCAGTGGTGGTATCGAGGAAACTTTTGAAATCTTTGGGAGGTGGGGTCTGGCTGGAAGAAGTGGGTGGGCCTTGAAGTTTGACAGGCCAGCCCCACGTCCTGTTCATTCTCTGCTTCCTGACTTTGGATGTAATGAGAGCAGCCGCCCATGCCATGGCTCTGCCATCGTGGTGTCTGGTACCCAGGAACACTGCTTCAGAAGAAACCTTACTACCAGGCTTTCCTCACAGAGGTGGGGGAAAGTCGCTGTGGCAGCTCCTTAGAGAGGAGCATCCCCAGATGAAAAGGCAAAGTCTCTCACACCCACGCTACCACCTGCAATCCCAGAAGAGCACAAGGCCAGCCAGGCCCTGGTTCTTCTTGCCAAACCACAGGAACCGCCAAGTGGGAGCCAGCGGGTTTGCCCAGGGCCTGAGAGAGTCGCGGGGGAGATGCCGTGCAGTGAGATTCTGGGCTGCCTGCCACACTGCAGAGGTGCGGGAGCCAGGCACAGGAATGTTCATTGTCTGAGATTCCTGTTGGGCCGGTTGAACTTAGCACCTGCTGCCTCCTCACCCCCGGTCCTCCCAGGATCAAGGTCATCCTGAGAATGAGAAACTAGAGCAAGCACCCCAAAATTGAAAACAGCCATGTCCCGGGGGAGTCGGGCAGTCAGAGGGGATGGAACGGCATCTCCCTGGCACCTGCTGGAGCTGGATAGGTGGCTTAACAAAATATCAGCACAAAGGTGGCCGGGTGTGCCTCACCAGCATGGTCACAGCCCTCAGAGACCACACCAGGCTTCGTGTTCAAGCCCCACGCACCTACTCGCAGTGGGGTCTTTCTGGTTACACCTTCTCCCTGTCCCACCTCGCACTGGAACCTGTGGGATGCCCTGCCCCCAAACCTGTGACATACCATCCTCAAGAAGTTTGCCATTCTGATCTTCGTTTAGACAGGTCCACGTAAAACCACAGCTGTCCTCGTAAAGGGAGTAAGAGTTTATTTCAGAGTCATTTTGAGTGACCACGGCCCCGGGAACACAGATTTAGGCTACTCCAAGTTTCACGTTCCAAAGTGGAAGCAGCTTCGTAAGTTTTTACGGAACAAAGAAAGTCATAAATCAAAGCAAGTTTAAAGTACGTTGATGGATGCATCAGAGGCAGGTACAGTGAGATGAGGAAACTTTTCTATAAGCCTCTGATGCTATCTGAGCTTTTGGGTTAGTGGAAGCTACAGATCTTCTAAAGTTAATAGATTCAAAAAAGATGTTTTTCTACCAGTCCCAAGATGTTAGTTCCAGAGCTGGGTGAGAAATAGCTGTTCTGAGCTAGAACTAGAAAAGACAGCTAGGCGCTGGGCCTGCAGCAGTTCATCCTCTCCACAGCACTGCAGCTCTATCGGTTAGGTCAGTCGGTCTGCAGACAGAGCTTCCTTCTGTGCTATTGGGGGGACAACTGAGGGGGACCCTACAGAGGTCCAGGCAGGGAAGCTAACAGCCAAGAAGTGAGAATCAAAACCTGGTGCAGACTGACTTCATCAACCCAGATCAGACTTGGGTCGTCTGATGCCAAGCAGTTCATGGCCAGCATGATTAAATCATAGCACAATCTGGGAAAAAATTTCCAGGCAACCATCAGTCCACTCAGTCCCATTCGAGGTGCACAATAAAGCTTAAGGTGTGACTACATAACAACTACCTTGTAAAGCACTTGTGACCATGAGGGTGGGTTCTATAGCTAAAGGCCTAGAGTCTAGTGCAGTCTCTGATAGCATAGCGGTCAGCAGGCCACAAAGCACCTGTGACATAAATAACCCTGTGGATGGGTTTAACTGGGAGCGTAAGATAAGGATCTAGGCAGGGAGAGTCGAGGATAAACATTTTAGGCGAAGTCAGCCTTTATAGCAAAGAGTGCATGAGGTCTGCATCCACAGATAGGAAAAAGGTCGCCAGGTCATTAACAATGGGAGGTCCACTCCCAGCTTCTGGGTGGAAGGGG